TGTAATTTATTAAGGTAGATCTTCGTTTAACATTGGCATCACTGTGTAATCCACTACACTTTATTTTATTATTATTTTCTTCTTTTGAGGCTAATGAACAGATATCTTTTACAATAAATTTGTCCAACATTTCTTTGTCATGTTCAAGGCCTGCAAGAACTCAACAAGCGTTCCTTTAGTATGCTCAACCTCTCTGTTTGGTATTGATGGATTCCAATTCTCATTGGAAAAATATGGTGGCAAGTCCAGAAAAATTAGGAGAAGTTCTCATGCGATAGTGAGACACAATGAATGCAGAATGTGCATGCATGTGCATTTCCTCTGCTGGCAGAATGTGAAATGTAGGTCTCTGAAAGCTACAAGTGAAGGAAGGGCATGAAAGGAATCAAACAGCTCTTCAATGACTCACCTTCTTATCTTTTGTTGTGGCTCTTCATGCTTATCTTCTTTGTTGGCCTGATCAGCTTCCTATGGTGATGAGAGTGAAGGAATGAAAAATGTGGGCCTTGCTTTAGAGTTTTATTAAGCTTATGACAAACAAAGTGTGAGAACAAAGTACAACGAATGGTACAAAAAAGTTAAACAGTGGATTCCAAATGATGTGCATCATTTTAGCTTGTCATGCCCCACAATGCATGTTGAGCTGTTTCTTTTGTTCAGTGCTTATCAAATACCTATTGCAGGTTTTGATCTATCTTGCTAGGTTAAAAATAAACTCAGAAATATGTTAGTTATCATCAAAGTAACTGAGAATTTGTTGATCTTTTTGCTCTTCATCTCTAGTAAATGGATGAGGCACACCATTTTTGCCTCATGTTCTCATAATTATTTAAACTTTATTAACACTTTATCATCATTTTTACCTCTTACTTCTATAATTATTTAAACTTCATTAACACTTAATTAAAATAAGCATTTGTACATCCCGACTTAAGTAGGGAGTAGGGAGATGAAGATGTCTTCCACAATAACTCTTCTCGATTATTTTCAATGATACTTTGGAATCTTATAGGAGGTCAAACCTAAATAGGAGGGAATCAACTAGAGGCTTCTCCTCAGGTGATTTAGGAAGCTTCAGAGTTAACTTCGGCCTTATTTTGATAAGTCATATATCTTGGGTGAGTCTTTTCAAAAAAGCCAAAGACATGGGGGAGAGAACCAAATCAAGTGATAGAGAAGAAGCTCAATAGGATTCGAAATCATACAACACTACATGTGGAGATCGATGCTAGAGAAATTCCACTGGCATACAAGAAGTGACAAACTAGATTATATGACAAGTTTTTAGGTAAGATGTTTTATCTGAAATTTCTTAAATCGGTTCTCCCCCAAACTATGGGGGTTGCCGATTGATTGTTTTACAGTGGACATAGTCGAAGGATTATTTTTTACTTTTAATTTTACTATGTGGAAACAATAAATCACATCTTCTTGTGAGGACTGTGGTTAATGTAAGATCAACCTTTCACATTAGTCCCATGGAAACCCTTTTTATAGTTTTAATTACCAACACTTCTGTTACAACTATTATAACGTAATTTTTTAACCCATATATGATCTAAAATTAGTAAGTTTTTGAAGTTAGATCAAGTGATGCTAACCTGGTTCAAGGGCAAGTTTGCCTAAATGTGTATTCTATTATATTTTAGCACTCTAATGTTATAAGATATTTGGATTTAAGTGGGGGAAAACATAAATTTTCTAATCCATTCCTTACGAAAACTTGCCTAGCATTTATTTTAAGTGTGAAAAGATAGGAAACAAGACATCAAGTTCTGAAAGTGCTTTGGCACTAACCACTATACAACTAGCTCCGGGTGATGATGATATGCTTTACAGGTCATGGGTACAAGTGCAGAGGAGGCCTAGGCCTAGGTACATAAAAGTTGACATTGTTGGTCAAGCTAAGGGAAAAGAATCAATGTGGATGGGAGATGACTTGAATCAAATCATGGAGGCTAATGTGTTAGGAGTGACCAATCCGGTGCATCATTGAAATGGAATTAGATCATGACTTGCTCCTAAGCAATGGTCCAAGATTCATCATTTGAGTTTTTTTTCTCAAGAAGAGGGGTCACCACAAACGATGGTGATCCAACAATGGTTGGGATAGTGTCAAGGTGATAAAGTCCCACTTAAGTTATCCCAGGGGGTCAGACTAAGGAGGGATGATTCCCAAGAAGAATAGAGAGAAAAATCCATTCATCTCCTTGGGATAGGAGAGCAACGAGAATTATGAAGTAGGATCAAGTTTCATGTGTACTCCATTCTCCACTCTAGTCTTATTCTGGAAAAGGATCAATTGAGGCTAAGGGAGAGGATAACCCTAATAGGTCTATACCTCTATTTAACTAATCCCTTCGTGATGCTTTGATCTATAGGAGATGATGAGTTGTAGGTCAAGGTGGAACTGGGCGATGCTGGAGAGCCTTTTGTCTTCAAATCTAGTTAGCATAGGGGATTATCGGAGAACATATCCAAGGCACAGAAGAGAGCCAAAGACATCTTCTATGATGGGCTAATGGACAAACTAGCAAGGGCTTTTCAAGAAACCATAGCCATGAGAGAGACGTAAGTTGATTACTTCAATTTAAAAGAGGCTAAGCGAGAATGGACCAAGAGGGAGGAAGACGGAAGACCCAAAGCTATGTGATAAGATGTCTAAGAATGTCTTAAAACTTTCTTAAATAACATTCGACACCACAATAAGAAAAAAAGAAGCAATCCTAGGGGAAGCTCGGATGAGACACCACAATAAGAAGAGATAGAAATGAAATCTATTATATATTTCTTATAAATTATCTATCATAAAATTACATTCGATGAGAAAACAGAATAGCGGTGAACACTTATTCTCCCTAATGAGAAGACTTAAATTAACTATAATTATTTTATTGAAGACTCACATGCAAGTTGAAGGATGTAAAAAGCTCTAAATAAGCTAGGAAGATATTGGCAAGAAGATTTCTACGAAACAAAAGGATGATCAAGTAGACACTTTGTATCTTGGAATAATTCTAGTTATTAAGCGATGATAAAACCCCTCAATCTATATATCTTATTATTAAGGGTTTAGGTATACCTCATTGGCTCTTTACTATAGTATATGTAAGTAAATTTTCTCTAGTAGGAATGAGTTATGGGCTAAGCTTTCTACTATTAATTTGCATGATATCTCATAGTTAGTGCGTGGAGATTTAAATGTTGTTAGTAACCATGATAACAAATTAGGTGGTCATATATTTTCTTTAAATTTCTCGGTTATAATATTTCATGATTTTATTTTTTACTCAGAGCTTATAGGTTTAGAATTTAAAGGAGCTAAGATTACTTGGTGCAATAATAATTTCTTTTTTCATTTTAACTCGTCTTGATAGAGCTTATACAAATGCTACTTGGTGTGATATTTTTTTACTCCTATATTTTTATGTATATGCCTAGGATTATATCATACCATTGGTTGGAGTATAATGAAGTCAATATTCTACTTAGGCAAATTTGAATGGTAGATGTTGTTTATAATAACCCTAGTACTATGATTGGTGGTAAACTTTATAGGGTGGAGTTAGCCTTTCTAGATAAAATAGGTTGAGATGTGGTAATCTTAATAGATTCATTAGGGACAACAATAATAATATCAATTTATTAGAATATTTAGAGAGTCAGGGATCTTATCCGATGAGGAGACCACTGCACTTCAAAGTCTTTACAAGAGAATAGGTGATCTGAACCATCAACAACACCTGTTTAGGTAGAATAAAGCCACAACTTCCTAGATTGAAAGGGGGAAAAGAACATTAGATACTTTTATTCCTTGATTAAAAGTAGAGAAAGGCAAAACTAGATTCATTTTATGATAGATAGTGAGGGTCAGATTATCTCCAATTAGCCTAGGATTCTTGAAGCTTTTGTTAGATGGTATAATAACTTTTGGAACCAAAGTGATGAAAGCAAGTCTACTAATTAGATCCAATATTCTCAACCCAAGCAGATTGATGATGTACAAGCTAAGTTCCTTCTTAATCCACTTACCTTGGAGGAAATTTTAAATACTTTATAGCAAATCAGGAAAGAGAAAAGTTTCGGATTAGATGAATTTAATGTAAAATTATATTTGACATTCTACGACACTATCAAATATTCTATGCTGAAGATCTTTTTTCAATTCTAAGAAAATGAGGAGATCCTAGTCTGACCTACTTAGTCTGAGTTAATTAATCATACCCAATCGACCTTTGTTTCAGATAGGAGAACATCCATGATAATATTTTAATTTCTAATGAATTGGCACATATGATTTTTAAATCTGATAGTACGACCCCATTGGCTTTGCTTAAGATGGACATCTCTAAAGCCTATAATTAAATTAGTTAGTTGACTATAACTTCAATTTTTACTAGAATAAACTTTGTGAATTGGATCCATGCATGTATCTCCTCCCCATCCTTTTATTGCTTAGTTAATGAAGATGAATTTAGGTGGTTTAAAAGTCAATATGGGATTAGATAAGGGACAATATTTCTCTTATTTATTTATATTTATTTGACGAATTTTTAGTAACCTATTTAAAGAGACTATGGATGACTTTCTCTACTATAAATATTCATAGAGTTACAATATCTCATCTTATGTTTGCGGATGACTTGCTGGTTGCTTTTGAGAATAATGCAAACTCTTATCAATCTCTTAAGGATATTTTTGATGCATATAGTAAATTAACTAATATACATATCAACTAACACAAATAAGAGATTTTTTTCTATCTTAGATGCTTCAATCATGAAAAGAATAGGATAGGTCAAACTATGTGGGTGCACGAGGGAAGCTAACCTATTAAGTACCTTGAAGTTTTTATTTTTATTGATTATAAAAGATTAGAGGAGAGACACCAAATGGTGCTAGTTGACAAAGCACTCGATAGAGTTCAAGACTAGTTCAAGAGTCTATTATCACAAGCTAAAAATGTCACCCTAATCAGTTTTGGAGGTGGGTCCCAAATCTACTCACACAAATGAAACATCTCACAAGTAAACAATACTTGAGTGTAACGAGTTACATTCTCATATCATGCAAATATTATTGCTCAAAACATAGAGACCATATGATATATACAAAGAGTTCACATGGTCTAGACAAATCATGACAAATGACGATCACATGTTTCCCTGATACTCATCGTAATGCTTTTTATTTCCATCAGCATCTACAGGAGTCTGTCCATCACCTGGAAGATTAAGGAGAGATTGCTAAGTAGATAAACTCGGTAAGAGGCGATTATATTATAATTTCATATTAGGCAACTAAAACTGCATGTTAAACAACTTTCATAACCACCATAATATCATCATAACATGAAAGCTATTTGACATTCTTATCCATAAGCATAATGAATGTAATTACACTAAATCACATGAAGGTAGCTGCTGATGCATCATAATTTCATGATATCATCATAGGTTTCAAGTGCTGTCATAACCATTACTATAATCTTGATGACAGTGCATAAATATAACTTCAAAGTGGTTCGAACTTAATCATTAAGGGTCGAACCAAACCATTAGTGAGTTGATTCCTAAACCAATCCAAAGAAGGGTATCCCTAAACCAAAACTGTTTATAGCTTTCAAAACCAAACCATTAGTGAGTCGATTCAACCGAACTAATTTTGAACACTCCTCATAACTTGTACTCGTGTGAAAGTTGCAAAAATAACTTGCACGATCGAAAAAATTAATAATGCAATGTCATAAAAAATCTAACACTAATCTAAATATGCTCATGCAATTTATATAAGCTTGCTATGAATATGATATTACGTAGGCCTCTTTAAAAAAAACATGTTACATAGATTTCTCCTTTATCATCATTAATACTTGTGAGATATATTCAATTCTCTTTTTTGTCATTAACTCAGAACAGGAGATGTTCTCTGTCAAATTTTGGAACTAATCATTTTGTACATGAAATCTTTTCTACTATATCTTTTTTGTCATCAACAACTGTTGGGTTCTCAATAAAATTAAATTAAGCTTCAATTAAGCAAACAACAAAAGATGACCAACGAGAAATTCCACTACTGATAGTTGAACTAATCACTCAGCTAAAACTCACAGTCAAACAACACAGTTGTATTTACAGTGAAATGATTGATTTCTATGACAACATTTTAAAATTTTATAGTGACAAGATTGTAAATTGCAAAATTGAAAAGAATCTATTTCTATGACAAAATTTATACTCATGAGAAACTATAAGACATTTTGTAAATTGCTTACCGTGACAGGCAAACATGTTATGGTGAGTGGCAGTCTTCTATTAGATCCAGGGGAACACGTCGTAATCTGATCCTACTGCATAATCAGCTACATTGATTAATGCTGGGTTTTCTGGATCAAAATCTATCCTGTCAACCTCCATGCTTCCTCTGGAACAGTTCAAAACTTGTTAGCATCGCAGCTCGATTCTTGTTAACTATTATGTATTGAACACAGAATTAACAAGATCCCGTCACGATACTGGAAGAACAGGGTAACACATCCACCTCATAGATCTACAAACGCTGCAAGCAGCACAGTCACATACATTATGTCCATAGCCATTTCGATCATCGTCATTTCGAAGAAAGAATTGAAGTCTATGTAGGATTTGGCAACCTGATTGGACTTCACGGAATAGGCGATAAACACACTCGAAAATTACTAGAATTTATTTATCGATGGATTTCTTATGTAAATTAACTAAAGCAAAAGAGAGAAAGAGAGAGGAAGCTGAAGTTACCTGATGACCACCACATTCACCAAGGACTTCTTCTCAGGAACAGTATAGCCTGGTTTAAATATCTGCAACAGAATCTTCAAAATGAAGATTTGGAAGTCTTGACAATTTGAAAGATTTTGCAGCAAGTTGTTTGAAACTAAAGGAAAAAAATCAAAATGAGTTAGCTAAGGGATGCCAAAGTCTATGAACTACATCCAGTCTTTGTGAAATAAAGGATGCAAATATGATTGTGGAAGTGCATATGACTCCTTAGCTAACTCTCCAAACCTGTTAATCCATAAATCCTAAAATTTTGGCAACAACAAAAGACAAAGACTTCGAATTTCCTCCTTTATAACAAAATTGAAGTAGAATTGAAATCAGGAAAAAGATATAACACATGAGAATTTTTATTTTGGGAAAGCAGATAGTTTCGAAATCAAGCCATCATTAAAAGCCGATCTCATTCCCGGCCAATTAAAAATCAAAAGTTATCAACAATAATTTGGAAAAGATTTACTTTCACAAGATATTGATGTACACAATTTATATGAAACAGGGCCTGATTTCTTATATATAAAAACAAATTGGGGAAAAATAAAAAATCTAGCCTATGTATAAATATAGCCAAGGACAAAGAAACACATGAAGGAAAATAAAATTTCCAAAACCCATCTTTCTTCTCACCAATCCAAAAATAAGACAAATTAATCCCCACTTTATAACTCAAATTTTTATGACGGAGGACATCTTTGTATGGTTCAATTGAAGGAGGTCCTAATAATAATCATTATTATCTTTTTGTCGGTTTGTAACCTGAAGGCAAATCTCACAAACGTTGCTTCCTTTCTCATCGCACCACCTCTGAATGCATTCTCTGTGAGCAAACTGGAAAAAGGGCAAAAATCGAATCAGTCTCACAACAGGTAAAGAACGAACCTTTATTCCGAATTCGCAAAGGAAACCGAACAACAGGAGGAAAACCATCAGAAAGTTGGTACCTTTACAGTTCCAGAACAAGCACAGGGGGATTCCATACTCGTGGAGCTCCGTTCCTCCTCTTCGTAGCAGATTCTACATAGACACGTAGAAGCACAAGGGGATTCCATCTCCCTCTTTCTCTCTCTCTCTCTCTCGCTCACACGCAAGTAGACTGACAACACAATAAGTTAAGCAAAACAAAGGATGTGTCTCAAGAGATGATGGTGCTGCGTATGCCCTTCGCTGGATATTTCTCGTCGTACATGCCATGACGTGAGGCCTCTGGGTTTTAGTAGGGTCGGCGAACAAGCGTCGAAGTTACTACCCTGTGTTGGCCCCATCAGGGTCCAGGGAATCCTAACCATTCATAACCGGCTTCCGTAGAATTATTAGGCACATCAAACAAATTCCCACTAGAAATTTCATGGTCAATAATAAATAAAACGAAGATGACAGTGATCGATGATACAAAATTGACACAGTTTCTTCCCTTCCCTTCCAGAAGAAGAAGTAAGATAAGATTGTGTATATTGATTGTGTTGTCTCAATGCTAGCATATGACGTTCTCCTCCTTTTTATATCCTGAGATGATCTTTCTTTAAACCTTATAGTAATAATAGTCATGAATTCTATACTCATTTTAATACTAATATATATGTGACTTTTTTTTATAGATATATTTTAATTGTCTCCGCCAAGAGTCAACGATTTTGTTCATTAATATATAAGACATGAATCATTTATGGGATAAAAACCACATTCAAAATAATATTGATACAATTAAAGAGATAAAATGAAATAAAAGACCTTTTATCTAATAAATATGTTGGAAGCCCAAATTGCATGGAAAGATCGCATCACTCATGGCCGGTGGGGATTTAATGAGCTCATAAATGACCTACATCACTATCATCCAAGTAATAAAGAAAAATAAATTATGATATTATAAAAGAATCAAAGATAATGTGCAGGTCCACCAAGTCGTAAAAGAAATAAAAAAAAAAGTGATTATCAAACATAAATTATATCACAAGAAAAAGATAATGACTAGATTTAGATATAAGATCTTGAAAAGGTCTCCACGATCATTAATTTCATGATTTTGATATATATATATATATGTATATATATATATACATATGTATATGTATATGTATATATATGTATATATACATACATATACATATGTATACATATATATATACATATGTATATACATATATATATATATATATATACATATACATATAT